GAAACCTGTGTGGCCAGCGAGGATGCCCGGTCTTGCCATCGTCGTGCTTCGTCATGCTGTGCAGGTTGGGCACCTCCAAGTCATGTCATGTTGGATATTCGCAGGGTCTGGTGAACAAGATACTTGGGGAATGATGTCCGGCTGGCTCACCACGGCCGCTGCGAAACGGAAACTATGAAAGCCGACAAGGCTTATGTGGTTTCTTCGATCTGCCAAGATGCGGTGGATTCAAAGGCCGCCAGGACGTCCTGATGGCTGCATGATGTGAGACAGTGGTCGTGTATAAGCTGCAAACTTCACTTCGTGTCAACGGCATACAGCTACACTTTGGGAAGACACTGCAAATGCGAAGAGGGGCAGTCTTTCCGTTGTACAAACGACATGCGACTAAATGACCCTTGGTTTACTTGTGCACCGGGTGCGGGCTGAGCGCCTCATCTGCAACGAAAAAGGATACAAAATGCGTAGTGCTCTAGCACCTGGCACTCGTGTTGGTGAGGGTTCTCACGGAAGCCTGTGGAGCGGTCAAGATTCACATAGGCGCTTGGACAAAAAGCCGCCCGACACCGGACACCACAAACAAGTAAAGCCGCACACATTGACATGATACTTGCATGGTTCTGCAGCCGGTAGCACAGCAACTCACAGCGCCACCGAACAACATCAAGGACTGCACCAAAGGGGCTAGCACCAGAACCTGCACCTTAAGCCCTGAATCCTAAGCCCTACACAGCCCCAACGTCCCAATATACCCTTCTAACCTTAAACCACATCACCACGCTCCTCCGGGGAGAGGTCCGCAAGAACCTCATGCAGCTTCCCGGCCCGCTCAACCTCACGCAACAACTGCATTGCGCCTGCAAGTGCCTTGTAGTTTGAAGTCTCGGCAAAGGAATACGCGTTTCAATATAAATATATATGTATATAAATGTCGATAAACAAATGAATATGTATATGTATATAGATATATATAATACATGTGATAGAGATATTTGTATATATATATATGTATATATATATACATATATATGTACATACGTGTATGCATATACATATATATATATATATAAGACAGACAGACAGACAGACAGACAGACGGACAAACAGACAGATAGACAGATAGTAAGAAAGAAAGATAGATAAGTAGTCAGAGAAGGACGTCCATTCAGGATTTAGCGTGAGGCGCAGCAAGCGTATGCAAAAGGACAAGCACGGAGACAGCCGGCTCACTGCATCAAGAGCCTGGTCAAAGACATGGAGCACGCAGGAGGAGAAAAGATGAGACTCTCTTGCGTTCCGTTGCCCCCTCCCTGCATGCCCAGCACCTGCACATCGCACGACATCAGCTTGTTGACGAGGCGGCACCTCGAATTTCGGACTCTCGCAACTCGGACTCTGCACCTGGAACTTTAGGGGCCTGTGGCATGCGGCTGGAACTTCAGCACTGATGCACATGGTGCCGCCAAGCAACATGATGGCAGGAGGATGCAGGAGGCAAAAGGGGACTGACGCTGAGAATCGAAATTGCTGCTCCCATATAACAAACATCAACAGTGGAGACTTCGTCCTCTCCCGAAAGCAAGAGTTCCGCTCGCCGTCGCTCGGGGCATGCTGCAATCCAACGTCGAGCTTCAGTCTAAACTTGGGTGGTTCTCAAGATGGGAATAATGCCGGGCACGTGTGGCGAGTACAGCTGCCTATTGGAGCTCATCCAAAGGATTTCGTAAGAAACTGTGAAAGCCCCAGCTCTTACGCCATACCACTACGGCATAGGCAAGATTGGCAGGACAACAGGTCCTGCTTCGCAATCGCCTTTTTCAGCTTGCTCTTTGCACTCATGTACGGGACGAGGGGTGAGAAGTGACAAATCCGTACCTTGAATCATTTCGGCTGGATGGCGAAATGCCACTTCCTCAAGGGTGGCTAGAAGAGCAGTCCCCAAATCACGCACTCCATCGGCCCCTCTCGGATAAGGTATATAGCCTCTGGGCGTGTGTGTGTGTGTGTGTTGTTTTGATAGCGCCAGTGATTCGTGAATGCTCATGTTTGGCTTCAAGTGTCCGGCCGGTGTGTTACATGAGCTCTGGCAGTGGTGCATGATTTCCTCCATCGGAAGTAATCCCTTGTCTCTAACATTGAATGGGCCACCCAAATAGTAACTCGGAAAATGTGTGTACTATAAGGGTGCATTTTTCATCTGCAGTCACTTTTGATGGATATCGCTCTTGCTCTTGCTCCGCGCAGGCTTTTGCTTCTCCTCCTGCTGCATCTCTTGCTCCTGCTATTGCTCCCACGCTTCCTCCTGGTCTTGCTCTTACTCTTGCTCTTGCTCCTGCTGCTGTTGCTCCTCCTGCTGCTCTTGCTCCGGACCCCCTTCTTAACATGCAAATTTAGCTTTTGAATGGAAGAGATGATGTCGGGAGGATTGGCCCTAAGGTGTGTGTATTGCTAGGGGGTGTTTAAAAAACCTGAGAGGCACTTCTAGTAGTGTCCATGTTCCACGGCTTCATGTGCTTATTCCCTGCCAGCACCAGTCTGATTATGACTAGGCCGATGCAGCCAACCCGAAGCGTTTTGCACTGAGCCTTGGGGGCAATCGAATAGACCGGTTGAGTTGCACGCAATGAGTCACCCCTTTGCCGAACGCATAATGCAGGCAACGGACAGGATTTAAGCTTAAGGCTAGCTTGGCTTGTGTTGAAGGCTACAGTAAGCCCTCTGGACATCAGAGATCAGAGGCTGCAGAATAAAAGGCAACGTGACGGTGGGCCATAACATGGCTTTCTCGAGCAGTCACCAAGAAACCAGGGCTTGAGGGTGCACACTCACGACTGGCCGCCCGGCGCCATGCTGCGCATGTTGTGCGTGCTTTGTAATCTACGTCTACGTCCAAGACTCAGCCTGCTCAATTCATAAGATACGGCATGAAACCGCGGAAACTGTATTTGGAAGTCCTGACTTAAACTTCGGCCCGCGCTCTGGTCTCACCCAGGCCTACTGCCAGACTCCTTTCTGAAGTTGACTATGGGCCACATTGACGTCCTCGCCTTCAAACTTATTATACCCCGCAGCAATACTAAATACCAGGGGAAAACAGGCTCCAACTGAGGCATATAGCCCCACAAGACCTCAGAACAGAGACACCCCGACGAAAGGCCTACCTTGCCGGACAACAGAGGTCAAGGCTGATGCGATGCAGCCTCTTCTCATCCTGGACAAGCTTGGGGCTTTGCGGCATTGTAGCTTTCTGGCTTTGTGCGTGGGGCTTAAAATTTTGCATGGGGGTCTCGGGGTCTGTCTGGCATCACGAGTTCATGCAGGTTTGTGTCTCAACCCTCAACCCATTCTGATATGTATATTTTTCAACCAGCTGGTGGTCAACAGGCGTGTATCCTCGTAGGCGGCCCTTGCCTAAGCTCTTGGAATCCAGACATCCTTGTTCAAGCTGAAGGTCAACCCAGCATTGGGCTACGTGCCAATTCTCAAACGCTGAAGGGTCAAACACAACTCCGCTACATGCCACATACACCCGTAACAACGTCCATGTTTATGCATGCACATATACTTGAGCATTGAGCCGTCACAAAGATGATCAAAATCAAACCACCCTCACCCTCATGACCGCCCTCCCGAAGCATTGATGAAATTCGCGCAATCATGAGCCCTGCTAAGCCCTCAGCACTGCAATGTACAGCCCGAAACCCGAAGCCCTGAGCACAAAGCTCTAAGCCCCGAGCCCAAGTGCCCTAATATCCGAGCCCAACATCTGAAACCAAAGAACTACGGTCCGCAAACGTGCGTCAGCCGTGCTGAACGTTAATTTCTTCCACACCTCAGCACGCGGAGCTTTGTGGACTGGCTCGGCTGTCACCTGAGCCACTGAAAGCAGGCACAGACAAAAGTTGCCGAGCAACGCCAGATGTGCGCTAATGTGCGGGTCGCCACTGGCTGAACATGATTGTCTTTGCTGGTTGGCCTATCGACACCCCTAAACGAACTCTATCAGAGGTGGTGACTGGGTCACGACATTTTCAGTATGCAGCATCACTAAGCCATAAAGCCCGAGGGAGGGTTGATTCATTGATGTTTGGTGAATTCCAAACCTAAAGGCACCATACACTACTATCCTACTATCCTACTATCCTCCTGTATCTCGTTATATTCATCTCGTAGACAGCATGTCAATGCCCCTCATGCACAATCTTAACCCAAAGCCCGAACAAATCGAACCCAAAGAATTGAGTACCGGGGCTTAACACGAACTGCCTTTTAAAGCGTGGTTGCCAGATGTTACAAACTACACCATGCGCTTATCTGCAGTCTGTACCATCCCGCTGTGCATCAAGACTGCACTACCATATATGCCCCACATTGTCAATGATTTTTGTGCTCATTGTGTCTACCCAGGTGCCTTGCGCCCTGCCGCCGCACGGCCACCGCCGCTGCCAGCACCGCTGCCCCCAAGATCGTGCCATGCGGCGCCACATGGTTGTTCCAACTTTAACAGAATCAGAAGTCTTTGCTCCTTCTGGTTGTTATTTGACTGACCGATCCAACTTCTGAGCCTGGCCTTTGTTTTTTGCCCAGTATCGGGCTTCAGGTTCTTGAGTTCCTTGCAGAGACTTCGAAACGCGCGGGCCTCTTTCGGACACCGTTGCTGGATACGCAATTCTGACCGTGCAGCCGGTGACCACATCATGTGTGTAGGCGCAATCATGAACCCAATCAGACATGGCAGAACTCATCATCATGAGGACGGTATGGAGATAAAGGAGTATGGATGCCGGTCGTGGTGGCAATGGTGAAGGTGCCTGTTGAGGGTGATGACATGGAAGCGAAGACGAAGACTGTGATGATTTAAGCGGGGCGGAAATCACAAGAACGTGCTAAATAGAACAGCTGCGATGATCCTGTGGCTGATGGTGGTGAAGATGAAGATGAGAATGGGCAGCGATAGCAATCGTTGTTTGCTGCTGCTGTTGCTGTTGCTGCTGCTGCTGATGCTGCTGCTGCTGCCGCTGCCGCTGCTGCTCCTTCTGCTGCTGCTGTGGTTCTTGCTGGCGACGGCTGTGGCTGTGGCTGGTATGTATATTGCTCTTGCTGCTGCGAGATTGGCGCTGATGACCACATGGATCATCTCGACGATGAGGGGCGACGAAATGGCAAAGGCGGGTCATGATGACTATGCCGATGCTGACATGGTGGTGATGATTGAGCCGCCGACGCTCGCTCAACAAGTTTTCCAACCACCAACGCTCTCACATGTACCGGATCAGGCTCGAGAAGAAGCACGACCTGGTGTACGAGACTGCCAATGGGTGACTGTGTGTCTGCAACTGATGGCTTCAAGGCTTTGAACTGCTGATCTCACGAATATTTGACAAATATATTTACACGAGACGAAAACAAGGTCGTGGGGCCATGGGCAGGGTACCGCAATGATGGTCATGCCTGAGTCATGCACGAAGCTTTCAACCTACAGACAGATAGCCAGCCAGCTAGGTAGGTAGGCAGTAGGCAGGTATGCAGGCAGGTAGGCAGGTAGGTAGGCAGGTAGGTAGGCAGGCAGGTAGGCAGGCAAGGTAGGGAAGGAATACAAGTGGGTAGGTCGGTTAGTAGGCAGGAGGCAAGGTACATATGCAGGCTGCTGTCAGTCGGCAGGCAGGCAAGTAGATACATAGTTAGACAAGGACTATGACTAAGTATTCAGACCTCTATATACGCCCCGAACCCTGTCAGGTTGCGTCCATCAGTGCGACTGCAGCTTGCAGCTTCGATCGCACACTCGGGTGTGCTATGAACCCAAAGCATGTCAAACGCTCAACCCTAACAACCCAAGCCTTTAGGGCTTACAGACCCTACACCCAGTTGCACCAAAACTGACGAGGCCTGGGTCATCGTCTGCCGGGAACGGCCCTCTCCCACAACCTCTAGGCGGCTGGGGCTGGCTTCATGTGCCTTCATGATCTATACCAAGGCTGTTGAAGGACGTTACAGACATCGAGACACAAACAAAGGCCTTGACTGGAGGGCTGAATCAGGATAGCCAAATCTGGCTGACTTGCGGTCTAGGATCTACACGTTCGGGTTCAGTAGCATTCAAAGTTCATGGTCGACCCCGTAGGGTTTAAGTGGGTTTACACCGAGGACCGAGGACCAAAGATGACTTGCGAAGCCCCACCAGTCTTGAGGATGTAACTTCAAATTGTATCTGCGTGGCTTGGTACTGGCAGCAAGGCGATGCTTTTTGTTCTGATTTCAACATCAGTCTTCCCGCTTCGATTCGGGGCGGCACAAAGTGACAATCATGACACAACGGCGCAGTGCTTTCTAATTACAGAGTATTGCCAAGAGTTGACGGAGCAGTGCCGTCATTCTCACACTTCGTCGCGACACGATGTGGAAATTGGCCGAACAGCACAAGCTCCATATCAAAAGATGAAGCCACCGAAATTCCACGGCCTCCATGGCAACGGCCAAGCAAGATATAGGCCTCGGATTAACGGCATTGCGCAACGCAGGTGTCTCGGGGCACCTACAGCGGCCCCTACTGACCTTCCGATGGTGAGCACGCCTTGGAATTCGACTATCTCCTGCGGTCACCAAAAAAGGAGCTCAAACATCAACTGCGTCTTTGTCAGCAAATATCGGTCCAACTGATTGGCGAGCCCTGGATGACTGGATGACAGGATCTCTCACACAGGCAACAAAGGCCGGCAACAGAATCGGCTGCTTGTCCTTCGCCTGCACCTTCTGCAGCGAAGACTTCGGTCCTTTTCCAAGCCAGCCAGAACCGCTGTACAGAGCCGCTTGGTGAACACCGCTGTGGGGTAAACAGAGCCTGCACGGTGGCATTCCAACGTCTGAGGCCAGTGCATGTCATAATCTGGTGCCAGCTGCGTATGCTTAACGACCAGGGTGTTGGAGACCTCACTGCAGTCTACGAGCGCACGAAACTGGGGATAACAACAGGCAACTCCTTGGAATCTTCTCCCCAGCTGTCGTCTGCTTGTTATGTATGCACGTGGCCACAGCGAAGTACAACTACATGCAAGAAGCAGACTGGCAGGCAGAGGACTCAAGAAAAGAAGCAACTGTCGAAATGAAGTCACCCGCGGCAGGAGTAAACCGAAATTCATGCATGCTTCTGGGGCTGGCAGGAGCACGGCAAGCAAGACCCAAAGCTGGAGGTGTGATGTGTGAGGAAGCGCCTTTCTTCTTGCAATTGAGGCTAGTGCCTAGAAAGAAGGCACTTCGCGATAAGCATGCAAATTAGCACGAACAGCGCGCCCTAGGTCATGCATATCATGCATATTCATATAGGCGAAGACGGGGGTGCTAAAAGCAGGGAAGCGACGCCGCTGGCAGAAAGCCCCAGCGCTATGGAATCTCCGCCTGCACGTAATCAATGAACCTCGAGTACACCTTAGACCCCTGCACCCCTAGCCCGGCTTAAACGCGACCGGAAAACCGAGAGACGGTCTGACGGGGGATGCAGGGACGTAAGCAAGCACAATCCCGCACACGAACTGAGATCTACCTCAAAAAAGCACCCCCCCTCTTGCACAAAGGACAGTCTCACTGAAACTGATTTACTGACTGATGCACTTGACGATCCCAATGTATCACAGTGAACCCAGACAAGCCATCGGCAAGCTTGCACATCAGCACCTCCACGACTTGAAACGCTGGAATGGGCTCATTTTCTTAGGCCGGAGCCATGCAAAGCGGAGCCTGGCGAAGCCAAAGGTGACACTGGTGTCGCTGGGGATGAGTTGACTTGAACAAAACTTGACAATTGGTTTCGGGACCTTTGGCACAGAGGCACGCAACATCACGCATCTCCAAAGACCAATGGGCCGCGGTCCTGTCCAATCCTCAACTTGGGACCACAGTGAACAATCTCCGTTTCGGGCCACTGAGCTATGGAGTCCGTCCTTTCGTTCGCTCGCCTGGTAGCCTCCAAACTTCCAGAACAGATTCACGAAGTCGGTTTATGATTCTGGGGGGCTATGCCCGGCTATGCGGGCTCCGGGCTCGAGGGCTCTATGAGGTTTAGTATTGTGGGCTGAGGGCCCCATCTACAAGTCCTTGCTCGTTTCCAGGTCAGCATTCTGCTTTGAAGCTGTGCCGGCTATGACAAGATTCAAGGACAGCGGATGTGGGTGCATCAGAAGTGCGTGCGTCTTCGGCCGCCCTTCAATCGATGATTACATGGATATCATCCAATCAGTAATCCAATCTCTGAGAAAACTTGATGCCGTGCCCGTTCCTGAATCCTGCAGCCCCAGTAGCTGGGCTGGCCGATCCAATAACACACAAAGCCGCAAGCCGCCCGGTCTGAGCAGACCTTACAGTTCAGCCTGCATAACAAATGAATAGCACTAGATGCCAGGCCTCCGTCTGTGACTGTTGGCCAGCAATTACCTCCTCCGCCAGGCATTTGCTTCTATACGCATGTTGCAACCCAAACTGGAAACTCTAAGGATTCACATCATGGAAGTCTGGAGTTTGCAGCCCAGCATGGATCCCCAGTTCAACACGCATCTGCAATTGACAGGTGCTCTATTGCCAATGACAAGACGCGCGTCCTTCTCGAATTCGTTTGGTCTGCCTGGATGCATGGGATCTCTCCAGGACATGCTACTCGATTGGGATCGGGATGAGACTGCCTATCTACATACTGGTACATCCATATGCTGTTGGCTGTGTACAATAACAACTACCGGGATCCTGAGGATTTCTTTTCTTGCTCTACAAAAAAACAAGAGTAGCAGCCAGATGACATAAACCACAACAGGATCCGTGCCAGTGGCTTGCAAGAAAAGCGCCGATCTCAATCCACTCCAGATCTACTTCATCAACTTGATCCTTCCAGAACTCTTGCACTACCGCTGCGAAGGCGGTGGATGCTGCGGAAACAAGACCTCTGAGATGCAGCGCAAGTCTACCAGCATCAAGACTACTTGATCCTAGTCTTGGGCTCCTTCTGTTTCACGGGCTTCAGCGGCGCAGCGAGAGAATAGTACGAATATGAATTGTCCGCAAGATCTGAGTGTCAGCTTGCCTTCTGCCTGGCCGGAGCCGCGCCTGAGGTGACCTGAGGCGCTGAAGACCTGATCTTCGATTGGAGCCAAAGCTCCGGCTGTTTTGGCTGGGTGGGTTTGGGGTCTAGGGTTCCGGATTTTGGCTGTTGCGTTTGAGCTTGAGGGTGTTCTCTCGCCCCTCTTTCTGTGACTCCACGGATTTCAATTCAAACGCTTGCAGTTCCTCGGCACAACCGTGTTGTAGTTGGCTTTTCATCCCCCTGACATATGTCTCCCTAGAGCAGCTTCTCTGCACATCCCCGCGGTTCCCCCACCCCTTGCACAAGGGACCCAACATCCCAAATTTTCTTGGTCACAAATCTGGAGAGGAATGGAAACCAGTGATTCAAACGGTGACGGTCTGACACTCAGAGCACTCAGCAGTCACAGGCGCTTGAGGCCTGAGGCGCAGGTCGAGCTGATCGAGGAGGTTCTTGAACTCCGACACCTGCAGAGCAAGAGAGAGTTAGAGAGAGAAAGAGACGGGACGATTGCTGCCCGCGCTTTTTCGTGCTGAGACAGCGGTAGCATGTCACTTCATGCTACGTGGCCTGCATCTTGCACAAAGGCGTTGCACTTGAGTGACCAGAACCAAGAAACACCAAAGGACTGCCAGAGGGAAAGGGAAAAGCTCTCCCATAACTTCAGAAACATTCCAGGGTTAAGCCCGCAGCAGGCACGGGGCCCGGCCTCCGTGTCCTCCCAGCATCTGCCTCCTTTGCGTCCGATGCTGCGATGCTTTCGGCCCTCTCTTGGGGCGATGGAGGGGTGCCGGGCCTCGCCGTCTGCAGCGGCCGGCAGCTGCGGCGCCGCGCCCTCGGTCTCTGGGAAGGCCTTGTCCATCTTGGCCGCAACGCTCCACGTGTCACATGATGTGAGGTTGCACCTGCAATCAGTCGGTCTGAGCGGCAGCAAGCGGAAACAGTGACCGCGCATCTGCGGATCTGTGATAATTATTTCTTTCATTTGCCATGGCACCATCCTGAAATATCCCTCCTCCAGCAATCCTCAGAGTCGCGAGTCCTTGAGCTGCTGGTGGAGAATCCAACCGGTCCTATGCAACATTCCCAAGTGTAGTCCTTCCACTCCTTCCTCCCACTCACCCTTGGTATCATGATGAGCTGCCTGATCCCGAAGCCGCAGGGGGACAATGTTTTGCTACGCTTTTACGCTTTTCGGTTGCCCGCAACGCCTTAGGGCAGACACCCAGTATGACTGGGGTTTGCTGCAACGGCC